TGTGAGAGGGTGTGATGACGATTATCAATGAGTATGTGTGTGCTGACAATGATGATGATGATGATGATGATGATGATGATGATGATGATGATGGTGGTGGTGGTGGTGGTGGTGGTGGTGGTGATGATGGTGATGATGATGATGATGATGATGATGATGATGATGATGATGGTGGTACTGATCGTAATAATGGGTGTGATAACAATTGTGATAGTGATAGTGCTGAGGTGGACGTGATGGGGGGAGGGTGGGAGTTGAGCGCGGAGGTGTGCAGAGAAAACAGGACGCCCCCTTAGGATGTGGGGAATGATTCTGGCCTCTTGGGCTCTCGGGAGGCCTCTTGGAGACCCCGTGGGGCGTCTTGGGGGCCTCTTGGGGCGTCTTGGGTCATCTTGGGCGTTTTCGGTCGATCAGTCGGCGTGTCGGGGCCCTCTTGGACCTTCTGGCGGTCTCTTAGAGCCATCTTGGCTTGTATGATGAAGTAACTGTTCCCTTGGCTGTCTGAGGCCCTCGTGGCCGGAGACGATAGGTGCAGGTTGTGGTTCCATTCGCTTGCTGACGAGCCGTAATGTCGTTGTTAGCTTCTTGCTTCATACCTGCAGGCGTGTGGTATTTGAAGGTATCTGTTGTTTTTGACCTGTACCGCCAGTACGCTGGTGGTGAACATCGACCACTGCCAGCGCGCGAATGCTTGCGATTGCAGATTCGGGCACCGCAGTTCTGGCGGTGTGACTTGATTTGGCTTGTATGATGAAGTAACTGTTCCCTTGGCTGTCTGAGGCCCTCGTGGCCAGAGACGATAGGTGCAGGTTGTGGTTCCATTCGCTTGCTGACGAGCCGTAATGTCGTTGTTAGCCTCTTGCTTCGTACCTGCTGGCGTGTGGTATTTGAAGGTATCTGTTTCTTTTGACCTGTACTGCCAGCACGCTGGTGGTGAATATCGACCACTGCCAGCGCGCGAATGCTTTCGAATGTAGATTCGGGCACCGCAGTTCTGGCGGTGTGACTTGATTCGGCTTGTATGATGAAGTAACTGTTCCCTTGGCTGTCTGAGGCCCTCGTGGCCGGAGACGATAGGTGCAGGTTGTGGTTCCATTCGCTTGCTGACGAGCCGTAATGTCGTTGTTAGCTTCTTGCTTCGTACCTGCAGGCGTGTGGTATTTGAAGGTACCTGTTGTTTTTGACCTGTATCGCCAGTACGCTGGTGGTGAACACTGAGCACTGCCAGCGCGCGAATGCTTGCGATTGCAGATTCGGGCACCGCAGTTCTGGCGGTGTGACTTGATTTGGCTTGTATGATGAAGTAACTGTTCCCTTGGCTGTCTGAGGCCCTCGTGGCCAGAGACGATAGGTGCAGGTTGTGGTTCCATTCGCTTGCTGACGAGCCGTAATGTCGTCGTTAGCTCCTTGTTTTGTACCTACAGGCGCTGGATATTGCGAAGGCCTTACGGCCGGTGCCGCCGACCCTGCATGGCGGCGACAACCACGACCACAACGTCGAAGTTCGCGGGGGCCTCCTGGGGCTAGTTTGGGGGCCTCTTGGGAAGCTCTTGGAAGCCGCTTGGGAGCCTCGTGGGGGCCTCTTGGGGCTTCCTGGGGGTCTCTGGGGGGCCTCTTGGGGCTTCTTGAGGGGCTTCTTAGGAGCCTCTGGGGGTCTCCTGAGTGAGAGCTTCTCAACCAAACCGAGGGCTCGAAATGTCCGTTCGGGTCCCCCGTCTGGGCTCCCTTTTACAACCGTCTTGGAAGCCTCTTCGATTGTCTTGGAGGCCTCTTGGACGGTCTTGGGGCCCTCTTGGGTCGTTTGGGGGCTCTCTTGGGCCCCTCTTGGGCCATCTTGGGGCAGTCTTGGGGGCCTCTTGGCCTGTCTTGGAGCGTCGGGAAGCTGACAAGGCGAGAAAGCCGAGATTTTTCAAAAAGCTAAGGGAAATCTATGATCTTTGTGTCTGGTGTCTGGTGCCCTCTTTGAAGTCCTCTTGGAGGCCTCTTGGGACGTTTTGGAAACTTTTTGAGTTGTCTGGAGACTACTTTGGCGACTTGGACCGATACTTCGGCGATTTGGGGCCCTCGAGGACCGTCTTGGGGGCATCTTGGGACAGTTTGCCGCGTCTTGGAGCTTTTCTGGGCCCCCGAACCGCCCGGGGGGGAGTCGTATCTGACCCAGGACTTCCCCGGGACTTTCCCGGGACTTCCCTGGGACCCCCCCCCCACCCCCTTGGCGGGGAAGGGATCAAAGGGAAGGGGCTTCCCTTCGACTCCACCACAACGTTACTCAATTTCGCTGTGGCTGGCGCGCTCGACGACGACAACGACCACGACGACGACGACGACGACGAGTCAAATGGAACAGCCTCTTCCACACGCCGACAGGGTCGGCGGATTTGAAGGTATCAGTTATTATTGACTTGTGCTGCCAGTACGCTGGTGGTGAACATTGGCCACTGCCAGCGCGCGAATGCTTGCAATTGTGGATTCGGGCACCGCAGTTCTGGCGGTGTGACTTGACTTGGCTTGTATCGTGAAGTAGCTATTCCCTTGGCTGTCTGATGCCGTCGTGGTCGGAGACGATAGCTGCAGGTTGTGGCCCCATTCGCTTGCTGACGAGTCATCATGTACTTGTGTTTGCACTGCCTTGACCCAGTATGAGCAAGATTTCTACAGGCACGTCGGTTGTGAACATTGCTTTGTCGACAGCCAGTCCGCGGACGCGTGCGATTGTGGATTCGGGCACCGCAGTTCTGGCGGTGTGACTTGATTTGGCTTGTATGATGAAGTAACTGTTCCCTTGGCTGTCTGAGGCCCTTGAGGCCAGAGTCGATAGCTGCAGGTTGTGGTTCCATTCGCTTGCTGACGAGCCGCCCTGATGTCGTCGTGAGCTCATTGCCCTGGCCTTACAGGCTCTGTGGAACGAAATTTTCTGACGTGTATCATTTGATATCGGTGGTGAACATGGTATCATTGCCAGTGCGCAGATGCGAGTGATATTAGATTCGGGCATCGAAGTTTCGACGGTTTGACGTGGCTTGTGCGATGAAGTACGAGTTTCCTAGGCAATTCCTCTCCTCGCGTATCTAATGGCCTTCGGCCCATCCCGCCGCCGTGCCTGGGATGTGGGTATGAAGCTTGGATATTCGTTGGGATCTCTTAGGAGGCCTCTCGGGGGCCTCTTGGAGGCAGTCCGGAGGCCTCTTGGGGGCTGTTGTGCGGACTCTTGGGGCCTCTTTGGGTCTCTTGGGGGCCCCTTGGGGCCTCTTGGGAGCCACTTGGGGGCCTCCTGGGCGCCTCTTGGGGCCTCCTGGGAGCCTCCTGGGGCGGAAGGATTGGATTGTCGGTTCGTGTTCGCTCTCTTGGGCCCCTTTGGGCCGTCTTTGGGCCCTCTTGGGCCGGCTTGGGCGCCTCTTGGGCCCTCTTGGGGCTCTCTTCGGACGTCTTGGGGCCCTCTGGGAGGTCTATTAGGCCATCTTGCAGCGGTCATGGGAGCCTCTTGAGCCGTCTTGGAGCGTCGGGAAGCCGAAAAGGCGAGAACGCCAACATCCTTCAAAACAGACAAAATATAAATGATTATGGCCTCTTGGGCTCTCGGGATGCCTCTTGGAGGCCCCTTGGGGCGTCTTGGGGGCCTCTTGGGCCCTCTTGGGTCATCTTGGGCGTCTCGGAACGATCAGTGGGCGTCTCGGGGCCCTCTTGGACCGTCCTGGCGGCCTCTTGGAGCACTCTTGGCCTGTCTTGGGCTCTCTTGGGCCCCCTGGGAGGCGCGCGGGGAGACGCGTGGGAGCTTCGGGGAACCGCTCCTGGCCCCGGGAGATGTGAGAATTGTGGGTCGGGGCCCTTGAATCGGGGGCGGAAAAGGGGGGGGTGATGATAGGGGGGGGTGGATATCATGGCGGGGGCCATGATATCTCCCCAGATCTCATGGCGCCTCTTCTTGTTTCATTACGTCCCTGGCCCCCCCGCTGGGCCGCGCACATGCCGCCGGTCATGATTTGCACCCCCACTCTTGGACACCCCCCTCTTGGCCGCTCCCGACCTTGAAAGATTTATCAGGACTGAGGAGTGAGGCTCCAGGGATCAGGCCAAGGACCTGAGGGCACGCCCACTCCGTGCCCAAAGGCACGGTGGCGGATCAGCTGGGTTTGTTGGAATCGATCGGGGTCTTCGTGCAGTGCGTGCGGTTCAGGGTTCATTCAGATAGTGCCGAAGTTTGTCGCCAGTCTCTGGAGGCAGTCAGCAAGGTTTCATGCACACTCAGCATGTAGCCAACCTGCACTGCAGTGTTGCCCGGTAGCGCGCGCGTCCGTCTCAGCATGCCATATGCTCCGTCGGGTGGGCACTGCGATGCGCTACGGCTTGTACCAGTTTTGCAGGGGATGATGGTGAGGAGGAGGAGGAGGCGGTCGACGGGGATGATACGCAGCAACGTCGCACGACTCTCGCAGGCGGGGGTACGAGGGGAGACGGCGATTCCAGTCCACAGCCACATTGATTCGCTCGTGCCCTTCTCTATCCTTCTAGGTCAAGCACGGGGGCGCAAAAACAGTCGAGCCCCGCGCTTCGCGATCTGGGCCAGCGTGTTGCCCTTCTCCAGGGTTGTGGCGCGAGAGCGCGAGGACAGCCGCGAATCGCGCTTCCCCGACCCCCTTTCGTCGTGTTTTTTCTCGGCGGACCCCCAGAGGTCTGGACCCCTCTTCCACGGCCGCTTCTCCTGTCTTCTCCCGAGGACTGTTTTACGTTGCTGGGGCCCGGTCGTGGGCTCCCACGAGCCGAAAATGACCAGAGGCCCTCCGTCATGATTCCCTCGCGACGCGAGGAGTTCTGTAGGGGAACAAAGAGTGACATAAACATAAAAACGCGGAGGTCCGCGCGGCCCTCCGAGTTTTTATGTTTATGCCACTTTTTGTTCCCCTATCTGGGGCTCGCGCAACGCGAGGCCCGCACTCGGAGGCGGCCCGGCGCCGCTCTCGTGGATGGGTTCGCGGGTGCGCGCGGCGCGCTCTTTTCTAGAGGTCCGCGCAGCTGAAGGAGGAGATCGCCGCGCTGGAGAAGGCGCGCGTCCGGGGAGGAGGGGCGAGGGGGGAGGGGGGGGGGGACGGACGAGGAGGGGGGGAGGGAGGGAGGGGGATCAGAATGGAGGAGAAGGCGGAGAAGGAGAAGGAGGAGGAGGAGGAGGAGGAGGAGGAGGGGGAAGAGACGGAGGAAATTGTGGGAGACTGATGCGGGTTGGTCGTGGTGGATGATGATGATGATGATGATGATGATGATGATGATGATGATGATGATGATGATGATGATGATGATGATGATGGTGATGCTGCTGATGCTAATGATGAGGACGAGGATGAGGACGAGGATGAGGATGATGATACTGAGGATGATGATGATGCTTCTGCTGCTGATGATGATGCTGATGCTGATGTCGATGCTGCTGATGATTCCGATGATGATGCTGATGCCGATGCGAATGATGATGCTGATGATGATGTATATGATGATGCTGATAATGACGGTGGTGATGATGCTGCTGATGATGATGATTCAGCGTGATGATGCTGCTGATGATGAGGGTGAGCAGATGATGATGATGATGATGATGATGATGATGCTGATGTTGATGCCGATGCTGATGGTGATGGTGATGATGATGTCGACGATGATGTTGCTGCTGCTGCTGCTGATGATGATGATGATGGTGATGACGCTGATGATGAAGCTGTTGATGTTGATGACGACGATGATGATGATGATTATGATGATGATGATGATCATGATGATGATGATGATGATGATGATGATGATGATGATGATGATGATGATGATGATGATGATGATGATGATGATGATGATGATGATGATGATGATGATGATGATGATGATGATGATGATGATGATGATGATGATGATGATGATGATGATTATGATGATGATGATGATGATGATGATGATGATGATGATGATGATGATGATGCTGCTGCTGCTGCTGCTGATGATGCCGATTGCGATGATTATGATGATGATGCTGGTGATGACGATGCTGATGATGCTGATGATGCTGATGATGATTCTGATGCTGATGCTGCTGCTGATGATGATGATGATGATGTTGATGCTGATGCTGATGATGATACTGCTGCTACTGATGATGACGATGCCGATGGTGATGATGATGCTGCTGCTGATGATGATGATGATAATGATGCTGATGATGCTGATGATGAGGAGGAGGATCATGAGGAGGAAGAGGAGCAGGAGGAGGAGGAGGAGGATGAAGATGAGGATGAGGAGGAGGATGAGGATGAGGGTGAGGAGGAGTAGGAGGAGGAGGAGGAGGAGGAGGAGGAGAAGGAGAAGGCGGAGCAGGAGGAGGAGGAGGAGGAGGAGGAGGAAGAGGAAGAAGAGGAGGAGGAAGAAGAGGAGGAGGAGGACGAAGAAAAATGATAAGGCTAACAGTAATAATAACAATAATACTTGTAGTACTAAGAATAGTAAGAAGAATAATTCCCTAATGAGAGCTTGCCTCTGTAGGGGTCCTAGCAGATTCATATCGTTACGTTAGGTTTGCCGCCGATTTTCGCCGCACGCCCGGGTGCCCCGGGGTGCCCTGGGGTGAGGTTGGCCGCCGATTTTCGCTGCACGCCCGGGTGCCGGGGGGTGCCCGGGGGTGCCCGGGTGCCCGGGGGTGCCCGGGTGCCCGGGTGCCCAGGTGCCCGGGCGTGCCCGGGGGTGCCCGGGGTGCCCTATAGCCCAACAGCCCTATAGCCCTACAACTCTAGAGCCCTAAAGCTCTATAGCCCTATAGCTCAATAGCCCTATAGCCCCCTAGCTCTAAAGTCCTGATTGGGGTTCTTCTCCGGTATCATAAGAAGAAAGTTATAATGATGATACAAACGACAAAAATAATAATAGTAACAACAAGCGTACTATTAATAAAAAGACTAACATAAGAATGATACTAGTAATAATGATACTACGCAGAAGAAGAGGAGGAGGAGGAGGAGGAGGAGGAGGAGGAGGAGGAGGAGGAGGAGGAGGAGAGGAGGAGAAGGAGGAGGAGGATGAAGGAAGAGGAGGCTGAGGGGAGGCGGATGATGAGGCAGACGAAAGAAGAGGAGGGAGAACAGCGAGGGATGAGAAGGAAGGCGACGGTTGAGGAAGGAGGAGGAGGAGGACTAGGAGCAGGAGGAGGGAGGGAGAGAACGAATGAGGACGAAGTTGCTCGTCTTCGATAGTTCGGTATTTTCGGATGGCAGCAGAGAGCCCGCAACAGAAAGGAGGAGGGGGAGGGGGAAGGGGAGGGGGACGGGGAATAAGTAGGACAGGAGAGGAAGGAGGAGGAGGAGGATGAGGAGGAGGAGGAGGAGGAGGAGGGAGGAGGAGGAGGAGGAGAAGGGGACTTCTGAGGAGGAGCAGGACAGAGGCGCAGCGAGAGGAGGAGGAAAAAGAGGAGGGGGGGGGGGGGAGGAGAGGGGGAGGCGCCCCCCTAGGAGGCGGATGGGAGGCGCGAGGGCCCGGGGGGGGGGGGCGCGGGAGTTCGCGGCTGCGGCGCGCCCCAGTGGTGCCCCCCGCCCCCCCCCCGGCGGTGTACCTCCGAGGGGCCAGGGGCACCCGCCGCCCGAGGGCCTGGCCGACGTGGCGTCCTCGCAGGCCGCGATGGACAAGCTGCGGGCGGAGGAGCACGCGCAGTTCCTGGCGAACAAGGCGGACATGGAGCAGGCGGCAGGGTGCTCCTCCTCCTCCTCCTCCTCCTCCTCCCTCCGCCTCCTCCTCCACCTCCTCCTCCCTCCTCCTCCTCCTCCTTCTCCTCCTCGGTGGGTTCGGCTTTTTTTGTGGGCCCCTCACTGCACACTGCACCTGTCCTCGAGGGGGGGAAGCCACCCGGACGCGGCACAATCGGCGTTTGCGAAGCGGCCTTGGGCGTTCCGATTCCTTCCCATGGTGCGTTTACGAAACGGCTTCGCTTGTCGGGGTGCTTATTACGCGGGTGGATTTTCTGCCCTCTATTTCCGCTCCGCCTCCGGTCCCCCATCGCCCGGCAGTGCTCGTTCGATGCTGCACCGTAGGCGATGTGGCCCGAAGAGTCCCCAGGGGGCGAAACTCGCAGCCTCTCTCTCTCTCTCCGAGTGTGTCTCAAGCCGAAGCGAGCGCAGTTCCTGGCGAGCAGGGCGGACATGGGGCAGGCGGCCCCCCGCGCGGGCCGTGCCCAGGTTGTGTTTGGATCTCCGGGGGTTTATTCACAACCGCTGCCAGGGGGATTGATCTTCGGGGACTAGGCAGGCGGTGGGTGTGTACATACTCGGGCCTGGGAGGGGGCAAGTGTATCCACATCCACCGCCTGCCGAGTCGCCGAAGTTCGATCAGCCGGGTGGTTGTCATGGATGCATCCCCGCCTCGCATCCCCTTTCCCAATGTACTTCAGGCACATTCATATTTCAAGAATCGGATGGCTTTCTGGTTTCCTTCCTCAGCAGGTGGTGGACGGAATTCCAATCTCTTTTTATTACCCTCCTTCTCCATGTGTCTGCCCACTTCTTCCAAACGACGGGTACTTTGGCTGGACGAAAGGTTCGAGGTTTTCGGCTTCGAGGTTAAAGGTTTTCGGGCGTTTTCGTGGGTTCTCTGCGGTTTTTCAGCCTCGGGATTTTTTTCAACGGCTGCGCCTCGCCCAGAGCGTTCGGGGGGTGCCCGAGTTGTCCCGGCCGGCCGTTGGACACTCAAGTTATGGCCCGAAGGCGAGGATCGCTCGGGTCGTACGAGAGGGGGGATTGGGAAAGGGGAGGTGCGAAATTTGCTGCATATGGCTGGTTTGGACCCCGCCACCCAATGTGTTACTTGAAGGATAGATGTTTGCCTCGGATGCCAGGATCACTGGCTACATGCAGCTGGTTCGGGGCGGCGGGCGGCGACGAGGCGGCGACGCCACTGCCACATGGCGGCCAGAGCGGCCCGCAGGCCCAGTTACTAAGCAGGTACGTAACACATCCCTGAGTACAATCACTGATCTGATCGGACGTACGCTTCCAATGGGGACACATTGTACTTGTATGTCCTTCTGCGTCCCACGCGAGATCGGGGTGGCCTCGGGGCGGCTCGAATAATCAATCGTGGGCCCTTGGGCCGCGACCCCGCGGACGGTTTTTCGCAGATGCCCCGCGCGGAACGTATCCGTGCGACCGCGTATCCGTGGGATCGCGATCCAAACCGCGAGGGCGTGGATATGGATACGTTCGCCGCTCGTGAATCTAGGCCTCCCAGATGTGGCCCGAGTGGGTGGAGTCGGAGGATCGCTTGGCATCGCCGATGCATCAGCGATGTGGCGCGATGTGGAGCCTGATGTTCTCCACCCCGACGTCGTCAAGGCTTTGCCGACGTTGCCGATGCATCGCCAATGCATCAGCGATTCATCGGGGATATTGCGCGATCTTCCGACCCCATCCACTCGGACCCCAGTTGGGATGCCTCTAACGCAGTGCTGCGGCAGTTGTGGGTGCGGCGGACGGGAGCAGTGAGAGCGATGTCCTGCGGAGGAGCTATGGGGAGGGGGAGGGGGCAAGGGGGGATGATGATGATGATGATGATGATGATGATGATGATGATGATGATGATGATGATGATGATGATGATGATGATGATGATGATGATGATGATGATGATGAGGAGGAGGAGGGAGGAGGAGGGAGGAGGAGGAGGAGGAGGAGGAGGTGGAGGAGGAGGAGGAGGACTCCGTAGCCATTTTGGCTCAAGTCCATAGCGGTTGCTCGAGGACGCGAGTTTTTTTGTGGCAAGGGCATTTCACGGCCGCACCACACATCGGTACTGCAGCTACCTGATCGCTCTTTACCGATGCCTTCGATATGGATGGTTTCTCTCATTGGACGTGCCCGAACACGAGGTGCGGAAACAATGGGAACTTCTCGTGGAGATCTACGTGTCGTGTGTGCAAGCAGGCGCCTCACTGAGTTCCCGAACCCAAGCCAGCAGGATGTGCGCGTGGCAGCTGGGCCAAGGGGCCGCCAGCGCGTGACGCTCCGTCTAAGGGCAATAGCGTGCAGCTCACAGACTCGTTGGTCGCCATCTATGTCCGCATTCCCGAGGAAGAGTTCAAGTCTCTTGCGCAGTCGCTCGGTCTCTCTCTCTCTCTCTCTCTCTCTCTCTCCCAAGCAGGTTGCCCGTGTGGTCAGCAAGAGAGCGCTCGATGCGGGTGCACCTGAGGCTGCCGTGCGAGCCTCCCGTCAGGACACTGACGCGTTGCGCCAGCGCGTCAGCCAGGCTCAGGCCAAGTTCGACAAAGCTCAGGAGGCCGCGGCAGCCGAGGCCTTGGCGTACATGGGAGATTGCAAGCAGAACCTCATTCGTGTCAAGCAGGAGGCCGACGCTGCTGCCGCCAAGGCGGCTGCGGCCTACAGCGCCATGGCCAGTCAGGGTGGGAACATCTCCGTTGCCGCGGCGCTCCAGCTGATGCAGGGTCCCCTCGCCGCTTTGCAGCAGTCGGCGCTTGATGAAGCCTCCCAGCTCGAGGGGCTCGTGCAGGCTGCCGCGCAGCCTGTGGGCCCCCCTTGCCCGCCCGCGGCGCCCCCTGCAGGCCAGCCCTCGCAGGCCGACGGGCCGATGGGCCACAGGTGGCGCCCGCCCCCGCGGGCGGCGCGCCTGTTCATGCTGGCGGTGGTGGCGCTCCTGGGGCTGGCGGGGCAGGCGGCGGTGCGCAACAGCAGCAGCCTGGGCATGCCGACGTCCCGATGCCCCCCTGCCCCCGACTGGTCCATGTTCACTGACCCAAACGGCGGCTTCTACCAAGAGTTCTTGGCAGCGCCGGGCCTTGTCGACCCCGAGAACGCCGCAGAGAATGCTGAGTCAGGCGCCGGGGCCAGTCACGCCGCCCCCGAGAAGCCGGGCTTCTCGCGCAATTTCCCCCACGATGCCATCAAGTCCATGCAGGGCGCGCGCAGCGTCGAGTGTTTAGCGCCAAGGTCTTTTTCACCACGGCCAGCGTCACAGGGTGCTCTGGCCTTGAATGCGTGCTTGAACGCCAGGATGTGCTGAAACTGCGCGGCCCTGGCCATCCGAGAACATGATTTTGCCCAGGTTCACGCCTGGGAGGTGCGTTTTCGGAATTTGGGATGGTCTGCCAAAGGCTCGGCGGCAGAGATCACCCCAGCAGGTGGCACCTCTGGCTGTCTCTTTCAGATGGTGCAGAGGAAAGTCGGCATGGCAGAGCTACCTGATCAGAGTTTCTGCGTGGTCGACGCGCGTGTGAGCATACTCCACTTCTTTGCCTTGCGGCCTGATGGAGTGCTCTGGGCCGTTGTCTACCTTCATGACTCGCATGGTCTGCCGCCACAGAATTGCAAGTCATTGGCTGTGCCGGGGGGCAGACTGTATCGATGTGGGATGCCGTGTGTGGTTTCAGGTGACTGGAACATGACCCCCGAGGACGTCCAAGGTTCAGGCTGGGCCGACAAGCTCGGCGCCGTGCTGCTCGCGCTGGTCATCGCCGCATGCTCGCAGGGCGCCGTGCGCGCGCTGGACTGGTTCGCTGTCTCGCGCGGCTTGCGCTACGGGGCCCAGGTGCGTGTCCTCACCGCCGTTGGCGCCAAAGACAGCAAGCCAGTTCAAGTCTCGCTCAGGGGCGCCGATGCGGGGGAAGCTCGGCAGGGCTTCGCCACAGTCCCAGCGCAGGAGTTCTTCGAGATTTACCAGATCCCCGATGAGGAGCGCAGCAGCTGCGTGGGGCGGGCGGCCTAGCCGCGCGCGCGGGCGCAAGCCGCCGCCCGCCGTGCAGCTTCTGTGCCCGCACGCGTCGCCTGTCGCCCCCCTGGTTTCGTGCGCTCAGCCAAGTGTTGCAGGGGCTGCCTCCTCCGCGGAAGCCCGCTGCTCGGGGCGCCGCCCTCAGTGCGCGCCTGCAGTTGCGTCGGTCTTCTGGGCCCCTTCCCGTCGGCGCTTGCGGGGCTTTGGCGCCTCCTCCTGAACGCGGCTGCTGACTTGGACTGGGGCTTGGTCAAGTCTTTAACCCTTGATGCTCGAGCCTCTGGCGAGAGGCTGCTGGCGAGCGCGGGGCTCGAGAGTGGCGGGGATGGGTCCGCGGGCGCAGCGGCGCTGGCGGAGGTGCTCTCTACGCTCTGTCCAAACCTGTCGTGCCTTCGCATTCCAGCCCTGCCTTTCAAGAATATGGCGCGGCCAGAGCCCCGCCGACCTCGCAGGGGCAGGAGATGTAGCTTCGCGCGGAGGAGTGGGGTCGGTATTGGTGTGTCGAACAGTTGGAGGATTGCAGTCAGTGGCCCGCTGACATGGGTCCACCATTGCCCGAGTTCAGCCTCGATGGGCTGCGCGAGTAACTGCGCCCGTTTAGGTTCGCCAGCGGCGCTGGCTTTGATCGGATCAGCCCTCGGCAGCTCGACGAGCTCATGGACGAATGGCTCGAGTGTCTTCCGCAGATCATCTTCTCGATTGAGTGCGCCTTCACCTGGCCGCGGGCGTGGTCCAGTATAGTCTTTTTTAATGAAGCGCTCGGGCGGCGTGCGCCCCGTTGCGCCACTCCACTTGCGCGCGCGCGTCCAGGGGCGCCTCCGCCGCCCCCTGCCCCGGGAGTGGCAGCGCGAGAACTCTCGGGGGTTCTGGTGGTCGACGTCGGGGGGGGGTCCGAGCGTTGGGTTTGAATTCGCGCTGACACCTTTGAGTGGGCTGTGGGGCGAGGTCTTGCGGCGGGCGCGGTGCGTCTAGACCTGCGGAGAGATTTCGAGAACATGCGTCATGGCGCCCTGCTGGAGGCAGCTCGGCGCGCCACCTGTCCTTTGGGGCAGCTGAGGCTGCTCATCTCGCTGCGCGGGGCGCCGCGGGCGCCGGGGTGTGGCGGCGCGAACTCCAGCCCCGCCCTCGCTCAGCAGGCGGTGCTCGCAGGTTGCCAGTTTGCCGCTCTTTGTCTGCAGATGGTCGTTCTCTCCCCTCTCGACTTTCTGCAGGCCGCTTTCCCTGGGCAGACAGAGGGGGGAGTTCAGTTGGGGGCTGTAGTAGATGATCGTGGGCTGCGCAAAGTTGGCCGAGGGCAGCGCGCCCACCTGCGCCCCGCCAAGGCTACTGTCATGCTGCGCGGTGGGCGAGGACATTTTCGCCTGACAGTCGGCCGCCCCAAGGGTCGCATCCTCCCGTCCTTCTCGCGCATGCGTCTGGGTCGCGCCGCCGTGCTTCGCTCTTGTCGGTATCTGGCCGCTCAGTTCAGGCGGAATCTTGGGGTTGACTATGCGGTTGGCGGCGTCATTCGCAGGGCCGCCGAGCGCAGTCGACGCGCTGCCGCAGTCACTTGTCAGGGCAAGATTGTTTGACTTGCCAGTCAACTTCGCAAGCGTCAGGTGCACGACGCCGTCCGAGCTGCCGCCCTGGCCCCCGTGTCATATGGGTCGGGGGTGGCGGGCGCTTCGGAGGCGGAGCTGCGCGAGGCGCGGCCCCTGCAGGCAAGTGTGCAAGCTCAGAAGCTCTCAGGGCGCAGCGTCGCGCTTCTTTTGCGTTTGGCGGGCGTCAGATAGGTTGACCCCGCCTCTTCCTTCTGCTCCGCCCCCTTGCTGCACCTCGCCTCGGCGGTCTGGGAGTCTCGGGTGCCTGGAGGCGCCCTCGCTGCAGGGCTCGAACGGCCGAGCGAGCGCTCGAAGGGCAAGGGTCGCCCTGGAAGGCCATCGGAGGGCCCCTTTTCCAGCTGCGCTGCGTCTGCTCGTGGGCTAGGCATCGAGATCGACGGTCTCGCCTGGTCGCGCCCGCCTGTTGGGTTTTTTCACCGGCCGAGCTTTGCGCGTGAGCGATCGCGCGATACTTTGATCAAATTGTCGAGCAGTGGTGCCGGCAGCGCGTGGCCGCGCATCTCGAGCGGTCTGAGTTTAGGTCCCGTGCTCGCGTTAGTGCTCGCAGGCATGCGGCGGCTCGAGGCTCGCGAGAGGGGTCATGTCGTTTCCGTCGTTGCGGGAGGCCAGTGACCCCAAGCCAGGCAAGCAGCGCTGCAGTTGTCTGATATCAGCGAGTGCCAGGTCTGCCAGGCGCCCCCAGGCGCTCTTGCGCATGGGCACCTCCCTTGTCCGGGGCACGAGGGCGCTTTCCAGGCCGAGGCCCCAGCTGTGCCAGCATATCTGGTTAGGCACCTCAATCGCCCCTCTGTCCGTCTTCTCGCGGAGAGGCTGCTGCTGCCGCTGCTTGCCCTCCCCGCTCCTCCCCTCCGCGTGCCTGGCGAGGTCCGGCTCAAGGGGGTACCTGAGCTCCTAGAAGGAGACATCTTTCTTGACGGCAGCCTCCTCGATTGTAAACTGCCCCCGCAAGCCCAGAACATGGGCCGGGCCATCGTTGCGTTGCGCGAGACCCAGGCCGTCCACGTGTGTTTCTTGGCTGGGGGGTTCAGAACTGGTCGCTGGTCTGTGTGACATTGATTGCGCCGAGCTCTGGGCCCTCCTGCATGCGCTGCGAGCTGCTCTGCCTGGCGCCACTTCTTGGACCGATTCTCAATTTGTGAATGATGGAGTCTTCAAGAGATCGACTCTATTTTTTTTGCCATGGCGGCGTGGGCCGACCTTTGGAACCAGGTGTGGGCCGCCATCGAGGATCGAGGCGGGGTCGAGTCTCTTCGGTTGTTCAAGCTTAAGGCCCGCATCTCTGCCGTGGACCTTGAGCAGGGGTGGATGACCTTGCGCCGGCGTCAAGGTAACGTGCTTTCGGACAAGACGGCCAAGGATCGGGTATAGCCAGGACCCCGGGTAAGGTGATCCAGTTCGTGGTAGGGCCCTGGGGCCCCCCAGTTGGCCAGAGTCACTAAACCAGGCTTGCCGCAACTGGTGTTTTGCGGGTGACGGCAGTTCTGGTTCGTGGAAACGGGACGGGGGGGCGCCCCCGGTATAAATCACTAAACCAGGTTCCACCCAAACCAGTTCTGCCAACGCCCGAAAGGAGGCCGCCTGTTTTACTCGTGCCCCCGAGCGCTTTCGCGCGTGTTCCCGCTCCCAAGCAAATGCGCTGTCCTTCCTTACTGTATGGGTCGGACGCATCGGCTGAAATATGGCCGACGTCGACTGTTTGAATGTCCCTGTGAATGCCCGTGGCACTCGCAAGGAGGCCAAGTCTCAGTGTGTTTTGTGGCCGCCGCCTGTCGTCGTGCCGCCCATCCTCTCCAGGGCTGATGTGGCTCTCGCCGCTCTCCGCCGTGAGGGCTGCCGCATGCGCCAGGCCTTCCCGATTTCCGGGCGCCCAGGTCCAGGGGTTAGTTTGTGCTGTCTGTGGTGCGGGGGTCCATCTCTCCGCCGCCTTCAGAAGCCCCTGCAGTGGCAACCCGTCTGTTTGGGAAACGCGGGTGTTAAAACACTCGCAGACGGGAGGTACCTCCACGGCAAAAATTGGGTGCCCTTGTCCGAACCGTGGCGACGTCAGCTTCTCGTGGAGAGTGGCCAGGCGTTCTGACCTTTTTGATTTTTGTTTGGTGTCGCCATCCCTCGCCTGGGCAGTCGAACCTAAGCGAGGTGACAACAAATGTTCGTTCTGATGCCCCCCCTGGTCTTTGGCAAGACGGAGGGGACCTCGCTCCCCTTCCTCTTTAGCTCCGTGCCGAGGAGGAGGAAGAGGACTTGCAGGACTTGCAGCCTTCGCGTCGCGAAACAGGAAGACGAGGAGGAGGAGGAGGAGGCGGAGGGAAGAAAAGGAGGAGGAGGAGGAGGAGGAGGAGGAGGAGGAGGAGGAGGAAGAGGAGGAAGAGGAG